CAGGGGGTTAACCCGCTGACCTGGTTGGAGGACCGGTTCTGGACGGTGCCAAGGTGCCCTCGAACGGGCCACCGAACGGACCAAACCCCGTCCCGAGACGTGGCCCGCTTGGATTTGATCAGGGACGACTTTTGGGTGCGAGTCTTAAAGGCTTGGCGTCGACTCCCACTACCTAACAAACCTCCGCCGACAAGGTGGGAGGAGGTGATGCGCCAACCTCTTTTCGGGAATAGGTGGATGACCGACAAACACAGTAGGGTGTGCCGTAGCTCAGACACTCCGTGGAATAGGTGGGTTAAAAGAGGCATAATTAGAATAAAGGACATATGGGACATAGAAAAGGGGAACCGGAAAACGGCGCTGCAGCTAAAGACCATACTAAAACACTGCCATAAGGTTGAGGAAAATTTAGACCTGCTGATCTTCGTGGTCCCCCTGGACTGGGATTGGGTGGCGGTCCCAGGGGATCCGGAAATTGTGGGCAATGTGGTAGAGGTGCGATCTGATGAAGCGTTGATCAACCTCTTCCACATAGACATGGACAATGTACTCGTTCGATATAGCCCAGAAGCAACGAGATGGCGGAGAAACGTGGACCTGCCTAGGATTCGGGTGCTCCGGCAAAAAGATAATTGGATAGCGTACCAGCCAAAGACCCCTGTGACAGAACTCCCCTTCGACCCCGAGGAATGGCAGTGGACCCCTCCGTGAAAATCCATAATGGGGGAAAATCGAAAATTGTACACCTTAACGGTGAAGGCCACATGCCGCTTGTTGAGACCAAGGTGAACATAAAAGAAACCGTGAAAGCTCGGTGGAGGTCTCACCTGAATGTAGGAACGGAGGCAATCCGCCCCATCCGATGGTTCACCGCGACAAGATCTAGGCCAACGAAGATGGCCTCGCTGCAGTGGCAGATTGAACACCATTGCCTGCCCACGAATAATTGGCTGATAGAGCGCACACAGCTGGAACAGAAGGGACAGGCATTGTCGTGGTGCAAATCGTGCCACACTGAGTTCCCTTCCCGCAAAATCCCGGAAACTATAGAACACATTTTCATGCAGTGCCCAGGGGCGATCCTTACGTGGCGATGGTGGGACAAAATTTGGACCTTGCTGGCCACGGAATCCAACTGGCCATGGGATTGGAGGGCCATATTATGTGAAGCATGGTCCTCCCCCACCGACAACACTTTTGAAAATAACATGTTCAAGATAGGGAGAAGGGCAGTGGTGTGGGCCCTCTGGAGAAAACGCTGTACGCATACCATGGAGGGTGTCCGCATAGAGGGGGAAGAGGTAACAGATATGATAAAGCAATATATCCAGCAAGAACTCACGGTACAGTGGCAGAAAGTTAAAAATCAACTTGACTTGTTTCAATCGACACAGGATATAACACGTGCAATCCACCAATTCTCCGGGGACTGGTTGGGTAGTGAGAAGGGGGGCTGGATCGCAGGTGTAAGATGGGACGGAAAGCCCACCCAGGCGTGCAACCTGGGGGAATTCAAGAGAGACTACCGGATCTGCTTTAAGGATTGGACTACAGTCGGCCAGGCTATCCCGCTGCGACCGACATCAGATTTTCCCGACCCCTTCCCGCCTCACAATCAGGCAATGGTAGACATGCAATGGTATGGAGCGGATTGAATGGGCAACGCGGGACAGGTATAGAGCAGGCTGGTAGCGGATTGCAGGGACAAGGTGGGGCAGATATAGAGCAGGCTAGGATAGCTGTCAGGGCGGCATGGGTAATCTGGCGGTTGGGTAGACTGAAGAGACAACTCCATTTTGGCCGACAAGCCTGCGCAGTCAATCCCCGGGGTACAGGGCAAACAATGCTGGCAGTTGTATGTACAGGGGGATGCGGGAGGACCCGGGCCACGGGTGGTACCGACGGATAGAACAAGATGGGATGCTGGACCCCGTTTCCAGCAACGGGCAGTGAGCCCAACTGGCTCTTGGGCCGCCCGGGGAGGGCTAGCGGTGTCTGCTCTTATCAGCACCCCTAGGGCCACCCGGGTTTTTCCAAAAAAGAAAAACTGAGCATGAGGTTGGGCATGGTCTGGGAGTGTGTGGCTCCCCTGATTAGTATCAGTCCGCAGTCTATCTGACACCGTTTTATAAGAGTGAAGAGATACAAAAAGGGATTGGCT